TATCTGGACTGTCTTTTTGAGATTTGAAATTTGAAAATAAGACCACATAGTAATCAAGGGAATTTAGATCATCAATTTTGGCATCCAATTCAGAAGGTCAATCACAATTTGATAAGTTTCGAAATTTCAAAAAGGAACAGACATGGGAAGTTGATTCTGATGTCCTTACGAACTTCGGACTCTGATTTCCAGAACCCTAGTTCAGGAAATCGCTCAGAGCGTAAATCAGGAAATACTAAACAGGGAAAAAAAAGAGAGTCACTCAGACAGTAATCAAGGGATTCTAAGCCAAAAACGAATCAGCAATCAAGACAGTAAATGAGAAATTAAAAAATACAAACTACCAATCAAGATGTACTAAAAACCTAAATCAAGAATATGACGTGTAAAATCAGAGATTGAAATTTTCAGAAATCAGAACTGGAACTAGAAACTTACAACGCGAATCAAAGTAATCCAGTTTGGTGACTACAACAGAAACCATCGGCGAGAGGGTCTATCCAAAGAAAAGCAAGCTCCAAAATCAAGCACAGCGCCCTCGTACTCCGAGTCCGGATGTCCTTGTGACGAAGACGTAGCTGCCGCCGATACTGCTTCGCCCTTCTTCAAAAAAACGCGGACTCGATGTCACCTCCAATCCTCCTCTCACTCCACGTGAGGACGCGCTCCTCCCTTTCAGCCTGCATCAACCAACCATCCCCCACGAAACTACTCAGGCAGAGAAGCAAAGGCAACCCATATGCCAAAAATATCATGAAGATCCGCCCCCTTTCAAAGACAGTCTTCCTTTCATCCAGCGTGCTGGCCTGCAGCATCAGTAGATGTAGCATGAAGTCGAAGATGGCACCCCTGTGCTTTCAAAAGGCAGGCCGCACCAAGTCTCGCCACGTCATCTCTACCCTCCCGCTGTCAAGTCTCACGCACCACAACCCCTACCCGCCCACTGCGTCGGATGACTCTTCGTCGACTCTTGCGTCCGGGCCCGCCCACCGCGTCGCATGACTCTTCGTTGACTCCTGCGTCGCGCCGCGTCCACTCCAATGGTGCTCGAGCGGGGGCGCAACGCTCCTGGTTGCTTACATAAATCGGACTTGAATCTTGGCCAAATACAGGTAAACAAACCCTATATCATGTTTTTTGGACGACAGTTGTGGTTGTTGTAGACTGCAGTGCATTTAGCAAATATATAATAATTGTAATTGTATTTCCGTCCACCTCGAAAGCCCTGGCCCAAATATAGCACCTGGTTCCAAAACTAAGTCCCATCCCAAATATGCCACCTGGTTCCGAAACTAAGTCCCATCCCAAATATGGGACCTTGTCATCGTTGTGAAACAGGGCGGTGCTTAAAACTTTGGGCTACCCCGAGTTCCTTTTTTTTTTTTTTTTTTTTCCAGAGGTGGGATACTAGACGGATGGCAGTCACCCACAGTACTCGGTCACTCGAGGCTAAGTCCCACTAGTGGTCCGAAACGTTTTGGTTGGCCCTATGCCGCACGGTGCGATGTTCCATCCGGCCATGGAGTGCAGATGATCGGAGGGCCAGGAAACGTAGTTCGAATGCCGCCTCAAATAGAGATTTAAATGGGGTCTTTCATTGGTTGACGGATTTCTCAAATATTTGCCAACAGTGTTGGGTGGTTCTGGTTCCTTGCATGGTGTGGGCACTGTGGGGTATGTGAGAAACCAAAACTGTTGCATACTGTAACGGTGCAGACCAGAACAAGAACCGACCTCTCAATACAAAGTACAAGATAGCGCAGCGGAAAACTTAGATACCAATGATCCGAACAATCAATATTGCAATACAGCCCCGAACATACATCATCATCATCATTTCATGGTGTGAAGGGGTCTGGTGCTCACACAGGAAGAATGTGCCAGACCCCACCATACACAGACGAAGAAGAGGGGGTTTAGACGAAGAAGAGGGGAAAATGGGAATGTCGTCAACACCAAGTCTTCGGCACAAGCCCAAATAGTCCCTCGTCAAAATGTCTAAATCCCAATGTCGAGTCTGGATCCACTGTCGTCAAGTCTCAAGTCACAACTCTCTCTCTCTCTCTC